CTTTAGGATTTTACACTATAGGGTGGTGGTAGAAAATAAAACTATCTCTCTCAAACTAGGTTGTTAAAGAGATTTATCCAAGGTTTGAGTTTGTGATCAAAGGGGTTCATGTTTCATTGATGTGGCTTGTCCAAACTTGCTTTCCCGATTGAGATTGAAGGTTAATCATTAAATCCTACACCATCGAAAGGTGGTGACTCAATATGGGGTGTAAGAAGTCCGGTTGAGGTAATCTCCGGCATGCTCTTTTGTTTCTTTCATATTTATTTATTATATATTTTATTTCTGAGTATAGGTTGTGTCTTTTTTTTTTTAATGAAAAGTGTGGTTTTGAATAGCTTCAAGTTCTTGATATCCTATTGTAGTAGTTTATTTTATTTTATTTGAAGTTGTTATATTGTAAAAGGACTTCTTGTGAGTGATTTAGACCGTGAAGAAAAGGAAAGATTTGAAAAAGAAAGGAAAAAAATATTATACACTCTAACTAGATCACACGTATCCTTCTTTCACGATCGACCATGGAGAAAGGAATCCGAGAACCATTATCCACATTTCATTTACCTTTATCCTCTTCTAATTTCATTTAGGTTCATCCATAAAATCCAAGTTATCATAGGATTAGGGCTATTTAATTCTTCTAGAAACAAAAGTCTCTTATTAGATATCCAAATCTACTAGGAAACTTATCTCTTCATTTTTGTCATTTTAATAAAACAAAAATTATCTTAATAAATCCTGATCCGTATCTCTTGAATTTCTCTACCCATAACAAACCCTTGGCAAACTAGGGAGGGAGAGAGGAGGGCCTTGGACATCCTTCCTAGTGTTCACTGCCTTATGACAGATAAGAGTGTTTGCAATCTCTTTGTATCAAATAATTGAGACCTCTTTGTGCAAAATAATAAATGAAAATAGTTTCATATGGCCGTAGCCCTATCAAAATAAGTAAAGCGTCACCTCATAACTCATCTAAAATTGCATTTCAAACGTTAGAAAACTTTTACATCGATCATCTTGGTTTGAATATTAGGATTGTAAAAAAAAAAAAGGATTTCAAGTTCTAAAAATAGTGTATATTGTAATAAATTATCTAGACCGTTTAATTCACCTTAAAAGTAAGTGTTCATAAATATGTAAGATCTGTATTATTTTTTGAGTTTCGAATTTTATTGTCATTGTTGAAATTGATTTTAGAGTCATCACAGAGATTTCGGTTGTTGAAAGTGCCTTCCAAATGAGGATTTCAAGTGAAGCTTTATTTTGTTTTCATAAATCCTAGGCTCTATAGAAAACCTCATCAAAAAAATATAGTCTTTTTTTGTGTGCTTTTCTAGTGAATGGATTCTCTTACTGCCCCTATTTCACCCACATCAAAACATTTTTCAACAAATTTGTTTCTAGAATTTCCCTGGAATGCACCGGAATTCCCGGGGATAAGATTGTCTGAGCTCGAGTAAACAACATCATGGAAAACAATTCACACACCAAGACCAATATTCTAAGCTACTCTTTAGCAAAGGTACTTTTCATGATATTCCATTACAACAAAAAATAATGACAAAATAAAATATAAAATATGGGCTAATGTTTAACTATGTAAACCGATGCAATGAATGCCTTACTGTTTAAATAAATGTGAACACCCTTTCCTATATGGCCATCTCTATGCTAATCGTCAACTCTAACAAAATAATGGATATACTCCCTTAGTGAATTATTAAAAAGATCCTCAAATATGAAAGAGCATTTGTACATATGAAAATATTTCCTAGAAAATATTTCTATACGAAAGGATTCCCTCATCTGGTTAATAAATGTGAGGATATTTTCACACCAATTGGTCCCAATACATATTTTCACACCAACTAGCAGCTAATTGATGTGAAATGTTATCTTACCTAGCTACATGAGGGGATTTTTTCACCTAAAAGTGTTTCACGGAAAATATTTTCATGCAAAACAAACATTCCCTAGGGCCCCGAGTTGTTGGGTTTATGTGGCCTTTAAAGGCCTTATGAGTGTCTAATGAAAAACATTTATTATAGTGGAACATAAACTCAGTGGGAGTGTGGTCCCTCGAGGACCATACTAAGCAAATAATATTTATTGATACCGGACTGTGCCTGATGATCTAGGCCAGTCGGTTGAAAAACCCAAGGTACCTGGGCATAAAGAATTAACCGATGAGGGTTTTGGATTAGCCCTTAATGAGGTCGAAGCTTATGCCTAGATGAGTGAGTCGAGGGACTGTGTGACCCTTGTGTGTGATGGTAGGCCTACTGAGACGGGGGCCAAAACCTCATCCATGTTCTATCACATGACATGCATATCGATAGATCATTTGGAAAAGCCAGATATCCACTTTTTGGTGAAACGTATGCATGTGCGAGATATACCCCTATACACCATAGAGCTGTGGTCGCATCAGATCGTGATGACATTGACTCATCTCTAGGGGAAGAACTGTCATCCACAAACTGGGATTGCAACCCCTTGGCTTATCGGCCAAACTTTGGTGACGCACTAATGAGCCCCTGCTTGGACTGTGGGTCATGGGAAACACTGGGTCGGTTCGATAAAGCAAGTGTGGTTTGTAGTCCACAGTTGAAGGTGGAGTACCCCGTGATCGTTGATAGAATTTCTGAACCATATGGATCCACTTCCCATTATATTAATTTAAATGTCTTCATTTTATTATTAAATTATTTTAGATTTATTATTTGAATGTTTATAAGTCATTTGATATTTTGTTTCTTATTTTTGGTCTTATAAAAATGACGTTATTAATGTTTTAAAATTTATTTTTTTAATTTTAAAATATTTATTAAAAAATACATGGGAGTCCATAATACACATGTCATGTGGGTATTAGGTAGGGCCTCACATACCATCATGGGTGGCACGCCCCACCCTTGGATACCTTATCTTGTTGCTTTGTGTTTAAGTTTATTAAATATGGTAACTACATTTGGTAGCATATGGTCAAATATTGATTAGGAGATATTGACCATATCATATCTTGATTATTGAAAGAATATCTTGACTTGATATTATTGAAATATTCTTATAAAAAATATGAGATGGAATATGTAACTTATGGTATGCACTATATCTTTAATGGATTTAATTTATTTAAATATATTAATGGGAAAATGGTTTAAGAAAAGGGGATAATGGTTCATACACCTTTCATAATATTGATAGCCCGTCTATGGAATGAATGATTCAGATCTCTCACCCCACGAGTCACCTTGATCAACGGTCCATATTCAATTTAAAGAAAGAAGCAAACTATGGGAAACCCTAAAGAAACCCTAGACCTAAATTTCACTATAAATAGGGGTGCTCTCCCCCATAACACACCTATCTCTCTCCCATAAACTATCTCTCTCTCCTCCCTCGGGGCCATGCCCCTCTCTCTCCTCTCAAGTTTTCTCTCTCTAACATTCTCTCTCCTCTCTAGACTTTAGAAGAAACTAGGATAAGAAATCAGAGGGAAGCCTATAGTTATTTTTTAGGGGTTTGGGTTTTGTAGAGATCTAACGGTGGTTACCTAGTTTAGCCGAAATTAGCTTTCTCGGTTCGAGATTGAAGCTAGATCGCTGATCCCGTGCCATTGGATGTGGTGACTCGGTGTGGGGTGTAATAAGCCCGGTTGATATAATCTTCGGTATCTTCTCTTTTACTTTCTTACTCTTTTATTTTATATTCTCAAGCATAGTATTAGGTTAAATAAATGGCATCAAGTGGTTGAATTTTATTTTATTGTTGTGCTGCTTTATTTTGAAATATTTATTGATTGTAATAAGACCATCAATAAAAAAAAGGGCAATTATTATCATTAAAAAAAAAAATTGTATTCCCTAACAAAATATCACATAGGTCTTTCTTTCATTACTCCGGGCCGAATAACAGTAAAATCACTTGTGTCTCATGATTTCTTTCAGGCTATTCCGGGCCCAAAAACACAAGAATCGCCTGAGTCTCATGAATTGTTTTTTTTCATGTTCTTTTGTTCGGGCTTGAGTACCCGACAATCAAAGCTCGATTTCGGCTTGTTTAAACAATGTTTTGTATCCAAACCTTTCAATGAAATTTGCTTTCTTTTTTTAATAATCGAAAGTACAAATATACATGTAATAGAGAACAGATTAGTCGAACATCAATCAAAGGGATACATCGATTAATAGCACTATAAGATCATCATAAAACCCATCACTTTGAAACAAAAACTCCTAACCAAGTGACTAAACCCCATTTATTATTACTTTTTCTTTTAATGATCACAGTTCTTACTTTTACTTTCCTCCGACAATTGACTTTTTTGCATTGTTTGACATAAAGGTGCTCGGGATCTAGAATTGCCTATTTGGATCGAGTATCAAAAGGCCAACCCGATTATTTGACAAAACCTAAACTCGATATGATTTATATGTAGTCGCCCAGTTGTAAATGAGAACTGGGCAATCCAAATTGGTTGGAGCACTCAATTTTTACCTATATTATTTTTTACATTTTTAAATTTTAAAATAAAATTTTAATACAATTTCACATCGAAAAATCGCTCAAAATCAACCCAAATCTTCAATTCGATGATCGATCAGGCAACCCGGCCCATTTTTCTATAAAAAATATTTTTATGTTAAAAAAGGTTTTTACATAGAAACCAGATTAGCCATAACTTCTTCAAAGAAAATAATTGGCACACTAGAATCATATTCATGTCAATCTTAAGGGGAATCATATCCATATATATATCTTAAGGGGCAATTTGGCATTTCTTATTTAGAGAAGGATATGCAATAACATGAAGTCGAGATAGTTTAGATATTTCTTCAACTCCTGGGGTTAAAGTAGTTTATCGCATACCGTATTTTGTGTTAAATATATGTCGCCACGTGTCACGTACCCATCCGCGATTCTGAGGTCGGCATATATGACGACCACACAAAACCTTTAAATCAAAGCAAAAAGAAAAAAGAAGAATAAAATACCAGAAAAATCAGCCTGCAACTCTGTCTCTCTCTCTCTCACTCTCTCTCTCTCTCTCCTTCCTGTCTTTCTCTCTCTATCTCTAAGTTTCTTGCCTTGCTGCCGCCGGCTGGCTGGCTGGCTGCCCTGGACCGTGCATCAGCAACGACCGGCGGGGATTCCACCAGGTTCTTCCGAAAACAGGATTTGTTCTGATCTTTTAAAAACTATTTGTGTATAAATCCTGTAAATATACCCTTTTTTAACCCTTTTTTTTTGGGGATTTAAGGGTGTAAATTTGGTTATATAGCTAAACTGAGTCGTAGTGTTCAGAATAGATTGGTGTTTGGTTTCTTCTTTTTGCTCTGTAAATTGAGCAGAGATGTATACGTTTTAGGGAAGAAAAGTTGAGAAAACAGGCCCCTTTTTGGGTTTTGGGGGATTATGGAATCCTAAACTGTTTAGGTTGCATCTAAATACTTTGTTATAATGAAATAATTGATTTTTAAGAAACATGTTGTGAAATATTGGGTTAAGTTTGTACATAATTTGCAGTCTTTGCCTTTTTCTTTGTGGAATATTGGGCTTTGGGTATTGTTCAAAAAGGGTTATTCTTTGGAATTCTGTTTGTAGGGAATTGGTTGTGAATTAATAGATAATAGTGTTTTTTCTTATTCAGAAAAGGTTGAACCAACTTTGTAGAGAGAGAGGAAATCATTGTATAAGTTCCAAGATCTCAAACCATCTGTAAATTTAAGGGCAAGAATTGGGTTTCTGTGTTATTTTTTTCCTTTTGCCTTGGGTTAGGTATTGTATAAATTAATCAAGAAAATCATACCCATCTGTGATTTGTTAATCTAATTGGAAGGATATGGTGGATTTCTCCATGGCTGCAACAACTTTAGTTGGTCATGGTCCTTGGTTTCTCTCTCCTCATGATGGACGTGGGCCTCGGTTTCTCTCTCCTCTTGATCGAACCATCTTCTCTTGTCGAAAGCCTGAATCAAGTTATAACCGTAAACGACTTCTTCCCTCTGAATTTATGGGTCGAAGAAGCATATCGGATGTTCAATTTATCGAGAAAGGCAGAAAAAGAGACTTTTTTTCTGTCTCTTTAACAAAAGCTCTTGCAATGGAGCTGACAAAAGAGGCATATTCCTATCGAGAAGGCAAGAAGCTTCCTGAAAATAACTCCAATTCTTTTATAAATACAACATCCAGCCCTAGACTCTGGCCTCCACCGAATAGAGCTGATGACCCATCACTGAAAAACCCATTACTCAGGCAGCATCGAATGGGTTGTGGTTGGCTAGGGGTTATTATGGAATGGGAGGGAGTTTTGATCGAAGATGACCCTGATTTAGAGAGAAGATCATGGTTAATTCTCTCTCAAGAAGAAGGCAAAAGTCCGCCTCCTGCTTTTATTTTGCGGCGAATTGAAGGGATGAAGAATGAGCAGGCAATCTCTGAGGTTCTTTGCTGGTCTAGAGACCCTGTTGAGCTTCGAAGGTTAAGTTTGAGGAGAGAAAAAATCTATGAGGAAATTCAAGGTGGGTTTTATAGGCTGAGGCCTGGTTCACTAGAATTTGTGAGGAATTTGGGAAAATATGAGATACCTATGGCTCTGGTCTCTACTAGGCCAAGAGAATTTGTTCAAAAGGCCATGGAAGTTGTTGAGTTAGAAGGCATTTTCAGTGTGGTTGTGGCAGCTGAGGATGTTCATAGAGGGAAACCCGACCCTGAAATGTTTGTTTATGCGGCTCAAGTATTGAATTTTATCAACGAAAGATGCATAGTATTTGGGAATTCGAATTCGAGTGTTGAGGCCGCTCATGATGCATCCATGAAATGCATAGCAGTTTCGGGCAAGCACCCCATGTATGAACTTGGGGCGGCTGATTTAGTGGTGAGGAGATTGGACGAGCTCTCTGTTGTGGATTTGAAGAATTTGGCTGATCTCAACTCTTTGGAGTTTGGGATACAAGAACCAGAGGTTGAAATGGAATTGCAGGAGGATCCGTTTGCTCAGACTTCAGTCGCCGTTGATGATCTATGGTAGTTATCAACGGAAGTCTCTCTCTCACACACAAACACACACACACACAATCAGGTACTTGAAGGTAGACCCAGGGCATTGATTTATGAGAAGGGACACAATGCAGTAGCTACAACAAGGAAAGCCACACACACAAAAGCTCAAATTAGAGGAGGAAGAAACTATGACAACCAGTCTGAAAAACCAAAGTCACGTATATGGAACAAAGATTTCCTCTTTCTTAATTGAACCAAGCATCTCAAGAATGGATTAAGTTAAGATGGCTCATTGTTGTGTACTGGTGTTTCATGGACTTCACTCTGTAATATGATTAACGGATAAATGATGATATGAAATGGCGCCCTGGTGTATGATTAGTCGGTACGTCTCCATTTGACGTACCTTTTTCATATTGTGTATGTAATATATGCATTATTCAGATAGATTCCGTAGTCTTTGAAAATCGCAAATGTGTATAATTTCTTTCTGTCATTATCATATCTCAATTATCTTAAATTTAGAGTTAGCTAATGTTCTAGTTATTTGAGCTCTTTTTTACTGGCTTGACTCCATTATTGATTTTTTTTCTCAATGCCAATGTCTTAAGACTAAGCGAGTCTGTCTCGGACGTCCCTGCATTACTCATGTTCGAATGCCAATGTCTTAAGATTCAGCGAGTTTGTCTCGAACTTGCCTGCAATACTCATGTCCGACAACCTGCCGATTCCAGAACGAGAACCTTTGGAACGGGCTGCGTCTCATCAGTTCGCAAGGTTTTGTTTAATTTTTCTAAGACTCAGGCCGAGTCTCACACAAACTTGGCTTAGTCCAGTTGACTAACTCGGGCTTGAGACCCTAGCGAGTTTGGATCTCAGTCCTTTTTAGCTTTAAAACACTGCTCAATATAGATTTACTTATAAAAAAAGGAATTCACAACCTTATTTCCTATTTTTTGGAGCTTGTTTGTTTTATGCATGAGTTGAAGATTGTTAACCCACACCAAATTATCTTGACAGAATAAATGATTTCAAAATAAAATATTTCATATATTAATGCAAGGGAATCCCTTAATTGAATAACCATTAAAAATAGGGTGTAGTTTGTACAGAGCCAAGGCTCTAAACAATCAAGTAGAGCACACCTTCAAATAGTGTTAAGAAATGTGGTTTTAATACTGAAAATCTTTGTGATAGCTTTAAAATATATTTTCGCCACTAATTATAAAATTTAAAGCTTCAAAAATAGTGTATATCGAGTAGATCAATGATAACTTGAAAATCTTGAAAATTGACTGTTCAAAAATGCATTACAAGATGTACTATTTTCAAAGCTTGAAATACATTTTTTTTCTCATGCTTGAAATGATCAATTTGAGGATATTTGAACATCAAAATAACCACTTCTAGTGGAATTTTTTAGGTGCGCTTTAATTTGATCGTTTATATAATTTTTTTAAAAAAATATCACCTTTATGTCATGCTTTTAATCGCAAAAAAGAAATGTATACAAGGGGACCAAACATTATTGATACATGGAAGTGACAATCATGATTGATTATTAGATTTGAAATTGTGCGGGTGAGGATGTGTCATTATTTAGGCACAAATTCTCAAATAAAATTTCTCCAATATTGAGACCCATTTCATCTATTGGTGCAGTTGGCATACGGACGCCTTTGTAGGTGTAGAGGTACGGTGCCCTTCAAATTTTACCATGGTATATAATTTTGAAGTAAAATATTATTAGGATTATCTCAAAATCTATTTTTATATCTAATTATAAAATTTAAAATTTAAAAAATAGTTAAAATCAAGTAGATCTATAAACATATGAAAATCTTGAAAATTGACGGTGTATATAATATGTCGTAAAATATATTATTTTTTAGACGTAAAATCTTTTTATTTTTCATAGTTGTGCATGTCAATGTTGAGATGATCAATCAAAGGATTTTTCAACACTAAAACTACCTACTCCGATGGATTTTTTGAGAGGCATCCGTAGTTTTACATTATAAAGTAGCATCCTTATATAAACTTTTTCTTTCATCTATTTGATTTCATATCTAATTATTAAATATGATTATGATTTCATTGTACTAAAAATAAATGATTTTATAGTGTACAATCCCTTTCAAAAAAGCATAAGATTTTTTTGTTGCTTATGTAGAAGATATGAAAATTGAAGGTGATTATACGGGCATTAAACAGATATGCAATTGATCTTCCAAAAAAGAAAAATTAGGCATACAATTAAAGTGGTGGGCATTTTGTGGGATCTATTAGGCCAATTCTTCCTGAAATTGATGATCCAGACGGTCACTGATATTGATGATCCAGACGGTCACTTATACCTGTTAGAGAGAGAGACCTCAAAATGAGAGAGAGAGAAGAAGAGAGAGCCCTCAGAATGAGAATGAGAGAGAGAGAAGATGTCTCAATTATAAAAGAAAGAAGAGCCCTAATCTTATACCAGTTTGAGAGAGAGACCTCAAAATGAGAGAGAGAGAGAAGAGGTCTCAATTGTAAAAGAAAAAAAAAACCCTAATCTTTTACCTGTTTGAGAGAGAGACCTCAAAATGAGAGAGAGAAGAAGAGAGCCCTCAAAATGAGAAAGATAGAGAGAGAGAAAAGGGGTCTCAATTGTAAAAGAAAAAATGAGGCGGTAATAAAAAGAATTTGCTGGCTGAGAAAAAAAAAAACATTATCAAAAAAAGAAAAAGAAAAGAGGTCTCAATTGTAAAAGAAAAAAGAAAGAGGTCTTTTACAATAAGAGTGCTGGCTGAGAAAGATAGAGAGAGAGAAAAGAGGTCTCAATTGTAAAAGAAAAAAGAAAGAGGTCTTTTACAATAAGAGTGCTGGCTGAGAAAGATCGAGAGAGAGAAAAGAGATCTCAATTGTAAAATAAAAAATGAGGTGGTAATAAATAAGAGAATGCTGGCTATGGGGTTCGAACCCATGCGCACTTTGAGTGCAGAAGATCTTAAGTCTTCCCCCTTAACCACTCGGGCAAACCAGCTAGTGATTAATGTGTTTGCATATATATTTTGTCAGGCAAAGTAAAAATAAATTAATCAATTCATAAAATTTATATAGATATCATCTCCCTATAACAATCAATAAACACTTTGTCCCTAAAAAAATATATTACTTTAGTTTCTAAGATGAAAAGTTTTTAATTTACTTTGATAAGGCGCCAACCTTAAGCAATTAAAGAAAGCCGCGCTTCTAAACTCCATCTTCTCGCTTCTAAACTCCATTAGAAGATGTAGTTTTGAAGCCAAAAAAAATCTTTATGACGGCCTAAAAATCTAAGTTTAGCCCCAGTTATGAAATTTAAAACTTAAAAAATGGTTCACATTGAGTAGATCTAAATACACTTGAAATTTTTCAAAATAGACCGTCACACATTACAAAAAACACTCCAAGACTTGATCTATTTTCTTTTTTTTACATATCTTCACATTTTGAGGTCGAGAAATCAATCAAAAGATCTTCACGCACTGGAACAACCTTTCCCAATAGACTTTTGAGGTGTGCCTTACTTCTATACAAAGTAGATGGATACATTACACAGACTTTTCCTTATCTAAAAGTAACTTTAAGGAAAAGTATACAATGAGACTATTTATCTTCGGTACAAAGTGATAACAACTAATCTTGACCATTGGATGTAAAATTAAATGGCTACATTTATTTCATTGATCAAGCTCAAACTTAAAAAGACATTTTTTCAAACTTTATGACACACCCAAACTATCAGATTTCACATCAGATGGTTATAAGCAGTGTTTAAAAAAATGCCGAGTCGAACCGGACTCAGGAATCGACAGTAGGCATCTCAAATTGCTCAAAAAATCGGGAATCGACCGGTTCTAGAGAGAACCGGGCGATTATGTACAGTGACTCACCGAGTCACTGTACGGAATCGGTGAGTCCCGTGAAGAACACGGGCGGCACAGTGTTCTTCATTGGATTCTTCAAAATTTGTCATTTTTTTATCATTTTTGTTGTTTTTTTTGGCATGTGATCTAATATGCAGGCTTTAAACAGCTTTATTCAGCTTTTTCAAGGATTAAATGGTTGATAAATTTTGTGTTTTTGGATCATGAAAGTTGCATTTTTAGGGTTTCTGGCTTTCCTTGTGTTTCATGCCAAATAGGGCATGAAATCTGTCAAAATTTGTAGGCATTTTGATCGTAAAGTTGTTCATCAAAATCTTCTGTTACGAATTTATGATAATCGTTGAGAAAAAAAGAGTTATTTGGAGATTAAAGGCTCCAGTTCACAAAACCAAGTAAGAAGTTTGGGTTTTTTTTTTTTCCGCCATATGATTAATTTCACTGCATATTTTGAAGATAATGAGTTCAATTTGTAGGGTTTTTAATCTTTATTGTGTCTATTATGATTTAACATATTCAATTTTATGTAATTTGGTCAATTACAACATGAATTTTTAGATGAACACAGAGATGTATGTGGAAAAAAATTTGTGCTGTTTTTTTTTTTTTTCTGCCTTTCGATTTTTTGTTCATGATATATTAGAAATAATGTGTTAGATTTCTAGTGTTTTTAATTGTTACAGTGTTGTTTATAATTAGATGTATTCAATTTGATCTGATTTATTCAAATTGAGCTTTATGTTTTAGATTCAATGACTGTTTGTGAATAAAAGAACTGCGTCTTTTTTTTTTGCTCAATTTAATCGATTTGATTTGATTTATTGATGATAATGTGTTCAAAATTTAGGTTTTGATTCATTATATTGTTGTTTATCATAAAATATACTCAATTGGATGTAACTTATTCACTTAGAGGTGAATTTTTTAGTTAAAATGGCTTATGTAAGATGGCCCTGTGAAGAACATTTTTTTTTTTTTGTAATCCATGATCGAATTTTTTGTAATATATGATCGATTTTTTTGTAATCCATGATCAAATTGTTTTTTTTTTTTGTTAATCCATGATCAAATTTTTTGTTTTTTTTTTTGCAACCCATGATAGAATTTTTTGTAATCCATGATCGAATTTTTGTAATCCATGATCCAATTTTTGTAATACATGATCGAATTTTTGTAATCCATGATCGAATTATTATTTTTTTTTTTTGTTAATCCATGATTCGTAATTTTTTTTT